GTCAAACCATTCGTCGTAACGGTGGCTCCACTGCCGATAATGGATCAACACTTTTTCATCGTCATAGTCAATCTTCTCAATGTTGGCAGCATACCTACAGGAAGAAGTTCAATGGCTAGTTTATAGAAAGGCTGAATGAATGACAAGTCTAGTGATTTAAGCACTTATCATTTATCTCAAACATATAATGAGGGTGGCTTTAGAAATGAAATCAAGCTTAAAAATGTAAACACATAAAATACAATGAACCATGGCACAGCTGTACTTAGTGGATGGTGTGCTGGGCATTTACACCTTACTGTAGTGGAGTTAGTTTTCATTTTTAAATGATACCTTTAGTACTAAACTGTTGTATACAATATCAACTGCATTTATACATAACTGTGTCAGAAGGAGTGCAGGTCTATTATAAAAGACATTCATATTTTAAAAGGCTCCTCCCACTTAGCTTTGCAATGGCAGTATTCTAATGATGTAGTCTTATCACACATTTACAAGGATAATTCCTTTAAATAGAATTTAACATGTTTTTACATGATTTTCACAGCTTAAGGGACACCTTGAGGACACTCATCAAACATTACGGTTACTGTAATACAGGCCCGAAAATAAACAAGGAATGGAAACTTAGGTGTGAGGGGGAAGTGAACAGTAAAATGGATGAGAGAGGAATGAGTGAGGCCATGACTCACCAGTTTTTGAGGCTGTCTCTAGCCTCAAGCTGAGCTCCCACCTCAAATGTTATCCCTCTTCTGTTAGGGGGCGTCTTACTCATACTGCCCACATCAAGGCACCCTTCCTGTATGCGCACACACACACACACATTAACCATTAAAAGAATCTGCACTCATATGACCTCTGTTTTGCAACTAAGAGACATAAATTGTGCCGAACAAGGGACACAATACACATGTGCACACACACACACGACCGTCAAGGTCTTTACAGATAATAATGCAGTCAACTCTGTGTGTGCCTGTGGTCTTTCCTAAATATTTCACCAAGTGACTGGAAAAATAAATCACTCTTTAAATCTGAATACCAATCTAAGACACCCCCTTTGTGCCAGCAGAACAATAACCCTGTCCAGCAAGGGAAAAATACTACCACTGTAGGCTTATACAAGCTACAGATTACAAATGTTGTTACATGGTGTGGCACAGTGTGCAGAGATTAAATACTGGTATATTAAGGTGAGCCATGCCCCTCAAATGGTGGTGAATATGTAGCCAGTACCAGATGTTCAGCAAACACTACCTCAAAGAATAGGAGTCTTTAAAAAATAAAAAATAATCAAATGTCCTCACACAGGCTCCTAAGCGGTTTTAATCAAATTTATCACAGTGCGATTTCAGTGTATCCTTATCAACCACATCGAAAGACGGTTTAAGAATGACAAAGATAATGTGCTCACTGTAGGCATTCACCACTACAGCAGGAAGACATTTCTGCACCGAGCTAACACGGGATTGATTTAACAGCCCATTCTGCTTAAACTGCCGTTGTCAGATAAAGAATAACACTGATGATCGCTATTTCAGCTATAACAAAAACACAAATAAAAAATAATGAGGGTCGTTGGAGTCGAGCAGAGGAATAGACCGAAATCCTCCCGATAACATCGCTTCTTTTGTCATGCGTACGTACACAGGACAGACTGACATGCCGGTGCCTTTCATTTAAACAACTAAAAATTCACACCATGCACCACAGCATCTTACTTTTGTCCACGACGGAGCCTAATCGGTTCACCATAGCGGAGACTGTCGGGAGTAACTCCGGATTTCAGCGCAACCTACAAACCGGATATCTTCACACTACCCTGCCCACGTGTTTTTTTGGTCAGTCGATTTCACGTATAGACACAATGGGAGACAATGGTAAAGACCATTATGGTTGCACGTAGGGTATTCCCGCTACATTAAGAGGCGAGCAATAGTCTGCTCGGCAAAAATACTGGATTTAAGATCAAATCGGGTGTTTATTGGCGTGCAGAGAGCTACACAGACGGCAGTGACACGGACACAGAAGACGCACAAGAGACGCAAGATGCCACAATCAGGGCACATGAAACAGGTGATAAAAATTACTTTAATCTCAAAATTATCCGCTAAGACTATGTGTGGAGTAGCACATTTCGCATTGTAATATGCGGAGGAAAACGGAACCCCATATAGTATTTTACCACCGGCCCACCCAATACATTTAACAGCGTTCAACCGCTATTTTCTATCTAATTTAATAAAAGGGGGAAAAGCTGAAGAGAAAAAACACTAACAGGACTCGACATTTCCCAGATTTCCTTTTGTTGACCACTTCTACCACTATAGACGCGTTATTGTCCAGTGTTTTATAACCGGAGGGCGGAGCGCGAAAGTAACTGACACCTACGTCAGACCCTTTGACAAATAACACTCGTCGAACAAGCGCTGTGGAGGCGGGACGCTTACATTTGATTGGGCGAGCAGCTGTCGTTCACAGAGCCGTTCGCGGCCTCGCAGAAGGCCTACTTTTTCATACTTTTCTGGCTGTGTATGCGCGCGGCGTGGAAATGCCGAGTATAAACTTCTCCAACTAAACAGCCACAGACATTTCAAAGCACAGAGTAACAAAGACCGTAGGACCTGAAAGCACACCTGCTATATACCAAATACAAAACCGATATGTACTTGTATAACATTTTATTACCTACTTCGTCACGTTTTGTTTTGAACTCAAAAAGCCGACATGCGGCACCATACCGCTGTTGATGCACCCACCAACCGGGCCTCGGTCACGATATTACTGGGAATTTAAATCTGTCGAATGCAAAGTGAGGATATTCAAGCTTCTTACCTGTTTACCAGTCTCTATTTGTCCGGTTCGATGTATAATCTGCTGTGTAACTGCTTAAAAGCACAGGAACCGCCGGCTCCGCCTGTCAGCTCAAGACCACGCAGTTAAATTTCTCCCCGTTGCATTCACCACCGGCGCGGGCAGTGTGCTTCTGCGATGCGCATGCGCATTAAACGGACCAAAGCCCTTGTGAATATCAATAGGACGTCTCATCTAATACAGTCTGTTTCATTGCGTATGTATAGATAAATATTTAATAACCTGCAATTTGCCAAACTTTATCTATTATAAACTGTAATAATTATGAATATGTACAAAAATGTAAAAGCAGTAAATTAAATCAGAAATGTAAGTCACATGCAGTATAAATCCGTAATAAAGTCTAAATACAGGCACAGGCATAAATACAAGCACAAAAAATCAGAATTTCAATGGCTTTTTAGTACAGCTGTTCCTTGTATAATGTTAAATTGTATTTAATGTTTCCTAAATAAGTTGCTGTTTTGATCTTAGAATAGTGATGCTTTCAGTTCCTGACTATGCCCAGGGGACACGAGTGTCTCCCCGGTGTATGTTCGCCTGGATCTCTTTTCTTTTACTTGTTCAAGTCCCAAAGGCAAAGCCCAGAGCTCCTATTATCTGGCTTTAATGTTTATGCTGCTCTGGCAGCTTTGCACCAGAATGACCGATGAAGCAGAGTGAAGTTTGTGTAGTGATGAACATAAAAATGACAAATATTTGAACATGTACAGTGAAGGCAATGACAATTGTGGAGAAGTGTGTGTGTGGGTGTGTGTGTGTCGGGGGGAGGGGGGGGGGAATCCGGTATATCTGATTGTTAACTCTTTCCCTTGTGAGTCTAAGGACAAACAGGAAAAATGGATTCTCATTCTCTGGGTGTGATTGTGTAACACACTGCAAGACAGACTGGCTGATTGCGAAACGTCAAGGCGTATTACTTCTGCTTTTGAGAGTTAGATCCATGAACATTTTAAACTGCAACAATATAATTACATTGAACTGATGTATCAATGTATACTTTAGTAGTTAAACATTGTTTAATCCCTTAAATCAAATTTAAAAAAAAAACGCTCAACATTTTAATATTAGAAAATATTTTATTATAAAATGTTAGTCTATACGAAAGAAAAAACAATTAGAAAATAAAAATAGGTGCAGTAATCTATTGAAATGAAGAAACATAAACAGAAAATCTGTATATAAGGCAAAAACTGAGTATGTAAAAGTCTAATGGGCTTGAGAGTCAATATTTGGTATGATCACCATGATTCTTCAGCACAGACTGAACTCTTTTAGCCAAGGTCCTAAAAATTATCTATGTATTAAAATTATGTTTAGAATAAAAAGATTAACAGGACTGATATATTTGTTTCCACTTACATGAAAACATCCACTCACACTCTCGTGTGTGTGTGTGTGATATGCAGAAGTTGGTCTATTGCAAATTGTTGAATGAAGAATTCTATAAATAAGTGTGAAGGTTTGGTGACCCGTCCATGCAGTCTGAGGACCTGTGGTTCATTTGTTCCATTCTTGTGAGCGTTACAGCTGTTTTTGTGTTACTGTTTTTAGCTTGTGGTAGCCTAGTTGAAAAGCTTAGTCCATTCATGAATTACTGTGCTTGAGGACTCACTTAACATTTAAGTGCTTTCTGTGCAACTTTCACACTCCAATGAAAGCACTCTGCTTTTGTATTTTGCCCAAGGACACTTGGGCACTCAGACTGGAGCACCTAGTGATCAAACCAACAACTTCCTGATTAGCAGATGACCTGCTCTACCTCCTGAGCCACAGCCACCCACATGGTGATAACGGCCCAAGAAAATATCTGGCTTGGGGCCTATCACAGAGTCGTGACCCCTGTGAATGATTCATGGGACATTGTTAACAAACAACAAAAACATTCCTTTGAAAATGGTCAGGTAAAGGATTGGATTGAAAATTAGTGATTTATCATAACCTCTCAAGAAACCCTTTAATACAGGCTGAACTGTACAGTTTTAAGCCACTGCACAGAGGTATCAGAGGACTTTGTTACTTGGTGTTCTTCCACGCTTTTTTACAAACTATTATTACCAGAATAAAGGCAAACTGCCCCAAACCAAAAAAAATCAAAATACAAATAAATTGCACACACTAGGGAATCCAACAGTAATTTTGAACAAATCTTTATTCATGGACAATCATTCCTTATTACGATGAGAAAGTATGCCAACACACATACACGCATGTACAAGGAAAGTGGTTTGAATCATTCCTATGTTCGTAAGATGAGCGGTTACAGCAGAAAAATGATCAGTTAATTACAACACAAAAGTTTTTTTATTGCTCTTTTACAGCAACAGTTAAGCTCAACCATAACCCAGACCATTAGAATACACTTACAGGAAGTTACTACTATTTTACATGTAAAATATTTACATCGACAAAGCCTTAAAGAGGGGCACAAAAAAGCTCAGTTTACATTCTCATAGCACTTGACAGTTAAATCAATATTCAGCGAAGGAGGCTTGTGTTAAGGTTAATCAAATTTTCAGTCTGTGAGAGAGAGAAAGAGAGAGGCCATGTACAGTTCTCACATCGAACACCCGTTTTATAGTAAGACCTGAGCCAAAAAAAAAAAAAGCATAACATAGGGACCACAAACACAAGAGAACTTGATTCCAATTGAAATTTATCTTACAGATAATAGAGTGTATTATCAGTTGAATAACCAGCCTCCCACGTTGTTACAGCGTGAGCTGTAATTAGAATTAACACTCCCGCCTGGCTTAGGCAATCGTTTGAATTTGGAAAAATCAAAGTAGTTCCATGTTTATTTGCTTAGAAAATTGCCAACATCCATTATCAAGAGCTTTCTGCACATCCCTCTAGTTTGTGCTTTGAAATGAAGCCTCTGTAGTCTATCAGAATAATTGCGGTGGAGTGGCTTTATATGCCTCGTAAAATTAAATACGAGGAGACCGGCTATCAGTACGACTACTCAAAACAGCACAGGCAAGCTTATTAACAAGACACCATTACAAGATCTCTTTTACATTTCATATGTTCAATTTTCTGTACATAATAGAAGGCTGTGCCTTTTGTTCACACGCTGACAATCACACACGCACACACGCTTGAATAAAATCAACCAGAGGGGTGGGGAGAGGAGAAAAAAAAGGCAGAGCGTTAACACTGCTGCCTTATGTTTTTTTTGTGCAAGTAAGGAATTTCTGAAACTAAGTTTGTACTTTGCACAGCCCAGTTGTCCCATGTAACTATAGTTCTACCAATTAGATAAGAAATAAAGGTAAACCTCTTCACATGCAGCGGTTAGAAAATACAGTCATTAAAGTGAACCACTTGTAAGCAGTCACTGTGGATTTTAGTATCAAAATCAGTGAATCCTAAGGTGGTGTGTTCGTCTTTCAGTAAGAAAGCAGGAGAGCACAAGGGCTCAAAGTCCCAGCTAAAGCGGTTTTCGCACTCCTTGTGTTGTAAGAAGTTTAATATATCACCTCAACAGTTTCCAGTGCGGTCTGAACAGAGAGACAGTATTTTTGCATGCTTCTAATGTATAACTGGAGAAGTTTGAGGGCTGATCAGCCCCTGAGGTGCACTCTCTGTGCTTTGCAACCTCTACACCACCCCTTCAATGAAACTGGTGTCCAGGTGAACGATGAGCATTCTCAGGAAGGACATCTCCTTGCGGGTGTTCTCGAAGATGATCCGTGGGTCGTCGGACTGGCATCGGAGGCAGTTGGGAGCCATCACCATGGCCAGGTTGTTCACATCCATCTTGGTAATTGCGACATTGGATGGCTGAGCGAATACCTGGAGATAAAAGTGAAGGAAGGAGAGGAAAAGCAATCAGGAGGTGTGTGAACTGTCTGAACTTAAACCTACAGTCACTTATGCATGAGTCATATTCAATTATTTAAAAAGGTCAAATGCTCAATAGTTTTATTATATAATTACTTTATAAATCAATCAATGAGATTTTTAAGAGTTTACCAACACTCTGTTTTGCTAACTGGTTATTCCAAAGTGGGTCTTTTTCTATTAGCCCTGTGATAGACTGGTGACCTGTTCAGGGTGTACCCTGCCTCTCGCCCTATAGGATTCAGCAACTTGTAAATGTGTAGCATTGAACTAAGAGGAATATTTGTTTTTAAATGTATGATTAAGGACAAGCAAACTTGATTAAGAATGTGTAATTCACTGTAAATAATAAAAATGTTTACTATTAGGACGGTAAGCAAACACTAGGTATGATTAACACTGTTCAAGAATTTATTCTTTTGTCTTGTTTTTTAATCTGGTGGACTACATTAAAAAGGTCTGCTCATGACAAAGTGCTCTGTAAGACGGCTCAATTAAGTCATCCTACACCTTTTAAGTCAATACTTTGTGTTCATTCTAGTTTTTGATTCATCATTGTTTTTGTTTTGTTCCTTTTACTTCTGCATTGCAGCTCTTTTTGAATGAGTGGTGCTTTCACTTACAGACAACTGTAACCACTCTTAAATGTTTATGTGACGTTCCCCCCCCCTGAGTTTTGTTATTAGTGTAAAGTTCAGTTTTAACTGATCTTTTGTTTTGAACAAAACATGTGTATATATAATCACAATGGTGTTGACTTATTACACCATGACTAAGGACCCTGCGTGACAAGATTATGAATCTGTCAGCTTATTGGTTACCTGCAGGAAGTGGATGAAGTAGCAGAGAACGAGCCGGTTGAGCTCAGGCAGAGATTGCACAACGGCAATGGCCGCCACTGGGTCATCGCAGTTAGTGACGCACTGCTTGTAGAAGTTCATGGGGATGAGGGGTTCTTCCAGCTCCCGATACCATAGCTTCATCAGAGAGGCTGAACGAGACATGACAAGAGATTTTATTTTAATAAAGAAAAAGTTCAAGAAGAAAACAATCAAATACTTCAAATTTAAAAATCAGTGCTCACCAGGAACATTGGGGTCAGAGAGGTTCTCTGGAATCCTCCACTGGTCTACTTGGAGCTTCAGTGCATTTACTTCATCAATATCTCCAGGAACCCTGTGGATAAAAAGCAACCCTACAGTTACAACCAGCAGCCACAAGAGGGACCTCTACTTCTACTCTGCACATTCTTCATGCCTGGTGGCAAAACCCATTCCTCACGCACACCCAGTTGGCCTCAAATGTGGCCTGGTGACTCTTGCTTTGTTTGCTGTAGTTGCATGAAACAACACAAAAACAGAATAAGCAATATAACCAAACAACACCCTCCTCAGGAATTTCCCTATGTAGATGTTTCACAGAGAGAGATCTGCATAAAGTATGTTTAGTGAAAAGCAAACGTTTTCTAAACAAGTCAATGCTACAGGATTGCATTTTGCTGGAGAAAACCCTACACAAACACTCGGCTGTGAAGCTCCCACGTGCTTGTAGGCTTAAGCTGTAATGTAAACACATATCATGAAGTATCAAATCAAAACAGTGCTTGTCCTGGGAGTGTTTTTTCTGCTGTCTGTTCTGTGTACTGTGCTCAAGGAGAGAGCGCTGAGAAATACGTGGCTAAAGGAGACCACACACATACGTTTAGATGCACTATACATACAACACAGTGTGCAGATTGGTACATAAGATCCCCTTCTAATTTTCAACACTGCACAGTTGCTGCTCGAGTTGAGGCATGCCATTGACTGAGTTGGGTCTGTCTTACCTGAAGATGCCCTCTGTCTGAGCTCCGCCCAGAGCGAGAACGTACTGGGAAAGCTGAACCTGCACCCAGGGCAGTTTCCTGTCTGGGAAGAGTTCACTCTGCCGCTCCATCACCTCATCCAGAGAACTGCCGAAAAGGGAGGGAGTGACAATAGCCCGTCTGCTGTGGTCGATCTCCTCCAAAGTGGGCTTACGTAGACCCTGGAGGGTGAGAAGGAAGAGCAGGGGGAGGATTTACAACCTGGGTATATCAGGGGCCGTGATACTAATGATGGTTGTGTCTGCAGCTGTGCTACAATGACTGGGTCTGTGTTTATGTCTATACCTGTGACTGTAGGCATACCTGTAATTATGTTTCTCTCTGTGACGCTATCTAAGATGATTCACATCAGACCTTTAAAACTGATATGCCTGAACTTTTATCATGTGGAACTGAAACACCTTGATAGCTCTTTTTATTCTTCTAGCGTACCTTTTTGCCACCGGTGATTGCAACCTTCTGCAGCTTCCGGTGGCAGAACTTGGCATAGGTGCTGATGGGGAGGCCTGTGGGAGAAGGAACAATATGTAAACCCCTTAAGCGTCAGGCATTACTGAACACACAAAATAATAAATGATTGAAATTCTTTCCCAAGCTGTTTTTCCCCACTGATGTCACATAGAGTATCAAAGCAGGCACTGGTAATTGGAGAGACTTGTTGACAGTGTGATTCTGGCATATGGGGATTAAAGCAGGCCCGGCTAAACTGTCAGGCTGAGGGAAGATTTACTGCTGCTGAACAAAAGCTCAGAGTCAAGATCCAGCCCACACATCCAACGTTCAGGTGATTCATCAGCACACACAAGACATAAAGGCCTCTGGAGTGAATAAGAAGCACAGAGGCTTCCCGTATGCTACCTGCCCTAAAGCAGGGTCCAGATCTATTCTGGATGAGAAATGCCTAAAAGAAAAAGCTGATTCAAAAAGCACCTGATCTTCCTAGAAGTTTTCTACACCTAGAGTTCACGAAAGAATAGAGCGCTGATTGTTCAGTCGTTTTTTCAGCTTATAAAAAAAAAAAATCTACATATTTGTGTAGTGTGATAAATACTTAAACTCTGAAGCTCTAGTGCTGTATTCACACTTCGCTCTATCAAAAACCTTAATCAGGCCCAGACTGGACAAATTTACTGACAATAATTTAAAAAGTAACACTTTCCAGTGCATTCCCAAAAATCCCAAGAGTCTACAGATTTATAGCAAACAGGTGACTCCTATGCAAGTTTGCAACTTCTGCTAATCTGCCCACGTCTGACTATAATTATGTCTAATTAGCGAGATCATACCAATAATTTGCCCTTGATCTTGGCAAAGATTGGCTTTCCCCCCACCCCAAACAGTTCCCAACATCAGGGTTCCCAACATTTACAGGAAGAAAAGCAAGAGTGTAGAGCCCCTGCACTGCAGTGAGAAGAAGGGGTTTAAACACTAGCGGTGGTCTATATTTACATCAGACTTGCTGGCATGAAAAACACAACACCCAGGCAACCAAAGCCCGGGAGAAATATGAGCTCATTAAGAGCTTGAGTGTACCGTACCAGGCTGAGAACGGCATGACACCTGTCTACACATAGACTGAAGGGAAACTTAACAACAACAAAAACAGAGTCATTAAAATAAAGAGAAGGCTTATGTCTCGTCTTCGTCATTATTTGCAAAATGCTCCTCCAAGTGCTGGCTGAAAACAGCCCTACTTCTGATCCCAAATGTGTAGATGTTTCCAAGGCCACACTAGGCCAGACCTCAGCTTTAGTTCCCATGTTGGACTCCCACACCTGCTGCTCACAGCTGCTTGTTGAGCTAGTCAAAACACAAAGTGCGTGTTCCAGCTCTGTAACCCGCCACACAAACAGCAGCTTTCTTCATACTGTTTTTCTGCTTGTTGGCGGTCATCGGGATTCTTTTTGGCCATTAGAGTTACTCAGCGAGGTTCAGTGGGCTTTCTCTTTGACCCATTAGTCAGCTTGAGGTTTTCCAGCGTAAAGCCCTGAGTCAGTGAAGTACAAAGCGTGTAGCCGCTGTTGTTGAAAAGATTGGGTTCCTCTCTGGTGACATCATCACCAGAGCTGGCAGTGTGGGTTGGTCTAATGAGGGCACGTGCTGATGAGTAGCTATCCACTTAAAAGGCCGTCTGACAAACAAGTGGCAGGGAGAGAGAGAGAGAGGCCGCTGATACGAATCACAGTGTGGCCAATTGTGTCCAGGGCCCCATGAAATTCTCATCCTACTGTTTTTCAGCTCAACTCTCTAAGAAGCCATTCATGGTGCCGGCAAGTACATCAGCATGTACTCGACCGACAAACTGCACAGTGCTGCATTTTCCATCCCACTCAGAGTGGTCACTCTGCAGGGACTGATATATTTGATTTGTAATGGCTTGCTCTGCTTGGACTCCAGACATGTTTTAAAGAGAGTAGAAAAACATCTTTAAACTTATTCCCCCGCCCTGTCCAAGAGATAACCATGACCAAGTGGGGAAAACTGTTTCAAAAGGTAATATGTTGAACTGAAAGGGACATAAACAAAAAAATGTACCTTCTTCCTCCTCTGTATTCTGTTTTCGCTTCTTTCTGGACTTTGAATTCTTCTTAAGCTTTAGTTCCTGTTGTTCCAGTATGAATTGGGTCACTACGAAACACACACAATAGCAAAGGTCAAATAAATATCAGTTAGATAAAAACAGAGCCAGTAGTAAGATCACACCTCATCATACTACACTTGATCATTTGGACAAAACAGAAATATAATCCGAATGGGAAATAGAAGGGGAAGGAGGAACACATGAGAACTATTAAAAAAAAACAGGAACTACTTTAATCAGACAACACAGGGAGGTACAGAAGAAAGAAAGGTGACCCACCCTGCTGCTCAGTCTGAGACTCACATTTCTTGTCGCTGGTTGGCTCCGTGTGTCTCTGTATGTAGCCTTCCAGGTAACAGCGGAACTTTGGGGAGGGGGCAAAGAAGGCCAAGCTGACGGCCATCAGCTCCCAGCCTGCTGCCAAACTTCTGGGGCTGGAGTTGCCTGTGGTTTGCCTCACCAACTGCACGTACAGTTCGTCCCGCAGCCCCGGCATGTCCCAGCACTTGGTAATGATAAGCAGGGCGCAGTGACGGCGGTCGAGACGTGAGGGCCTGTCTCCCATGTAAGCTTGGACGAGCTTGAACATCTCGCAGGCCTCCTTCCTGACAGCGCGATTGCTGGTGATGAGCATGGGCTTTTTGATGGACCCGCGGTTCCAAGACAGCATGTTGGCGATGGAGACCCGGCGCCGGAAGAGTCCCTGTGTGTGCATGTTGAGATGTTTGCTGGCCCAGTCCTCCATGCCAATGTCAGGAGGTGGGGGCTGCCGCAGGGTGGCGTAGGATAGTTGGTAGGCAGACCCTCCTACTCTTCCACCCGCACCATCACCTCCTTCTGCGTTGTCGTGGTTGGTGGGGCGGTGGGGGCCCAGGGAAGCAGTCCGTCCATCCACCATGCCTTTCTTTCTGCTCTCCAACTGAGCCTGCAGCTCTAGGGTGCTGGCCTGCAGGGAGGACACAGGGTGGACATGGGACAGAGGAAGTAAAGGAGAGAGGATGTGAGGCAAGAGTGCAGCAAATATGCAAACTGTGTGCATGCAGCTGCAGCCTTTGAGAGGCAGGCTGCTTTCTGCCTACTATGCTCGGCTCTGCAGTGCTGGGACTCGAGGGGGGACTGTTGCAGGACTGGCACATTTATTCCCTAATGCCAGCAAAGAACTGAAACAGGAAGAAATCTCCACAAATCCTTATGAACCCTGTCCTGAACAGTAGGTGAGCACGTAGTGGCACCAAAAAACAAACAAAAAAATAATCTTTTTTTAACACTAACCGAGTTACATCTATGCTCTGCACAAGACTTCCCTGTGATCCCTGAGGTTGAGTTCGTGGCCATGTAAATGTGAAAGGAGCACCTTGGCTCTCTTAATACAGGAATCCAGTAACCGACGCATATCCCCCAAACAGCCAAGAACAACACAAACCCTGAGCCAAAATCAAAGCTCAGATTTACTAATGGGACCTAAAAAGCATTGACATGTCTTTAACGAGACCCTGCGGTACTATGGAAGTGATGAGTGCCAGACAAGCTGGGTTTCAGATTTTTGTTTCTCAGTCAAATAAAGCAGGTCTGTGATTTGGCTTTAAAAGGAATCCACTACAGCTTTAAAATAGTACTAGATGAAATGAACAAATTGAATGCTTGATGAAGTAGAGAATACATTTTACTATGTAAAAGACTCATTTTAGTAAATTAAACTGTTTAGTTAACAGACGGATCAGTACAAGGAACAGTGGGAACAGAAAAGGATTGTTTCTGTAAAAATTGTTCCAGTGCATTCTTTGAAAAGAAAAGAACTCTAGCACTACATTTTCTAGAGTAGAGTTTTTGTAATTACACATAACCAGCTATAATCTATGAGTGACATAACAGCAGGTCTGAAGAACATTCCAGGACAGACTTAGGGGGCCTTGGCTGTTGTCAAGCAGACTATAGCTACAGTGGTACCAATAAGCCGTGGTACCAGTCCGCCTCGTAACTCCTTGCCAAACATGGGCCATATGGGCCACAGTGGCTCTCCTTCCTGACCAAGGGAAGCCATGTCCTGAATCTTTCTGGCCTGGCATGGGCCCCAGATGCCCAAGCACAGAGCTGGCATGTGAGTATACAGTACCTGCAGGGCAGGGCAGATGGACGGTGGTAAGAGGATGACAGCTATTGCTGGGATTGTGGCCATTATTGTCAGTGGTGCTCAGCCTGCTCACTGTCAAATGTCCTGGGGACATTTAGGCACTCAAGACTGGAATGTAAGAGGCATTACTCACAAAATCCTCTAATTTCTTCTCAAAGAAATGGATTAGGCCTATTGTTTTCATCCCAGACGCAACCGCTGCATCAAACATTAATCACTGTGGGTTGCAGAGGCGAACTTAAACGGCTTTATATAGAGATTTTAACATTTACGGATGCATGAGGTGTGTGCCTGTTGATTAGAAGAAGCAGACCTTGGAACTGGCTGCTACTTACATTAGTCCAAATAGAGGTCAGAAATTTGTTTTTCCATTTTCACAGCAATTTTTTATGGATACCTTTTAATAAGCCATAAGACCTCATAATAAAAAAAATACCAAATTATGTTTAAAAATATATATAACTGGACCTAATAGTAAAGAAGAATATTACTGCAAAATATTGTCTGTCACTCACAGCTCTCACAGAACATACAAACTTGATGATATAAAAGCAGCAGCTAAATATTCATTTGACAGTGAAACTGATTTATTTTTCCTCCTAAGATATTGATTCTCGACAAATATCAGTAACCAGCGCTCAAACAGAACAAAGCTGAATCCAAGCACACCTGCTGAGGAAAACAGACCACACAAAAACAGTTGATCTCTTAATCAAACAGGAAAGTATCAAAACACTGGATAAGAGCCCTTATCTTACAATCATAAGTAGTTGTTTGTAACAAAATAAACTTTTTGCTGTTTGCGTTACTCATTCACCAACCCACCCACAGACCCACAAATACACACAGAAACATAAGGGGGTTACCTGGGAGGGTGGTCCTGGGGTCTCTGGTGACGACAGGCTGGCCTGGCTATTGACACTCAACTCCAAGGTATCCACCTTTTCATAAGTTCTTTTCTGCCTCCCTGGCATTTCCAGAGGAGTCAGGGCTGGGTTGTCACAGTTACTTGCCCCTTTCATTGTCCGGGGGCCTCCAGTGAGGTCTTCTCGAGATGCACACCTTCCTGCCGACCCCCGTCCCCCTCCTCCTCCGTACCACCTAAGTGAGTCTGCGGGGGAGCGTGTCCGAGCTACAACAACCCTCTCCCCCATCTCTGGATCCAGCCCTGCTCTCACCTCTCTCATTGTGTTGGAGCGACTTACCACCTCCCTCATTTCGGCCATCAACCTCTCATTGAGGGCGCACAGCTCCCCACTGCTGCCTACTGACCCTGGCCTACCTCCTGCACCACCACCGGCTCCCACCCTTCTCCTGCTCTTTCGCCTGAGACTCGGGGAGGGGCCAGTGGAGTAACCAGAGTCTTGATAGTTTGCTGTGGCCTGCGGGGTCGAGGAGGGGAAGTCCTGAGAGGCCTGGCTGCTCTGCCTGCTGTGCCGAGCCTCCATGGCGCGCTGCACAGTGGCCTCCAGGACCCGCCAGCTTTGTTTCTTGTCCAGTGAACTTGGGCCTGGCGTTCCTGGTTCCCTGTCCCTTAACTGACCTCGACCCTGCTGTAAAGAGTGAGTGTGGGGATGTGGATACGGTTGAGGCTGCGTCAATACAGGGTCTTGCCTGGAGGTAGGTGAAGGGGAACGCGTGGGCACAGGAGAGCTGGATAGAAGCCCCTGTTTGGGGTCCACGTTGACCATGTGCTTGATACACTCCAGGCCAGCTGGGCTGTAGTCGGAAGCAGAAGGATTTCTCTTGTGTCTGGACCCTGGATGAGATGAAGCAGGTTGCTGGAGGAGTCTGGGTTTCTGGAGACTATGGGTAGGTGTCAAACGAGACAGAAGTTGTCCATTGTACAAGTGTGCCCCCTCCACCTCCATGTCTGTGGGGGGTTCATCATATATAGGGCACTCCGAAACTGGCTCATCATAGATTGGAGCAGTGCAGCCATAATGGGGAGAGACGGGGCGTGGTGTGCTCGTCTGTGACCTGTGAAGGAGTGGACTGGGATGGCTACTGTCTGACGTCACCAAACAAAAGCTGCCGTTGCTGGCTTTTCTCAGGTGATGGGCCTGACGTGTGTCACCTGTCATTTTGCCGGAAGGGGCTGTTTTATATCCCTGTGCAGAGCTGAACTGTCCCCCTTGGGCCTTGTTGCAGGAGGTGTGGAGGGTGAAGGTATTGGCTTTATTTTGCTGGAGGTTTTGCTGGATTGCTGGGTTGGGCTGGGTGCGGCTCATGCTGTTCACCTTCACCAACATGGCTGCCTTAGAACCAGGTGTTGGCTGCCATCTTTGAGAAGTATCCCTGAAAAGGGGAAAACATGCACACAATGAGAAAACATGCACACAATGAGATCAGACAAATAATCAAGTCTAAATATAAACCCAAACATCAAGAGGCAGTAAAAATCATGTAATCATATGTATGCAGTCATACAGCCACTGGCTAGGTTTCCTCTACTCTGAAATATTCACTGCTGACAGGGCTGGGAAAAAAATCTGCAGCAATCCACACATTCTTCTCCAAACATTTCACTGACCTCCAAATACTTAACTCCATTTTTAGTCTGGCAGTCATAATAGCCATGCCAAAGCATGAGACAATAACTTTAGTGTGTGTTGTAGCTAAAGAGGCTAAAAATAATGACTCTCTGAACATATTTCACTGAAACACATCCATTCCTCCTCACGCTTGTCTCAGATGTCTGGAGAACATAGTAAGTTCAGTTATGTGTAATATTTGATATTTTTAAGTCTTGAAAAACATTTGAAACACTAGAAAAGCAACTGTGACCATGGGAAAAGAGGTTGATCTGAGAAAAGTCAGGATTGCAGCAGTGGGCAGATGATATCTTGACTCGGGTTCAAAGTGCAACTTACTTGAAGCTGAACTTGGCTGAGAGGCCAGGCTAACTTATAAACCAATGACCCACTGCTAATCCCAGCAATGTAAAACAATCTGCCATCAATCTGGTCACACTGTTCTGGTCTGCTGCTGCCTCATAATCTTCCACAGTAATCAGGACTTTTCATTCCACAGTTGATCAGAAACTTGCCCTCTTAAACCAGTGAGCGTCTAAAGCCGGCACTGTTGCACATACATGCATGCTTGGACACAGACGGTGCCTGGTCCGAGGAAGTCATGTGTAGCAACGCTAAACAAACAAGCTCAGAGTATCTTCTTGCTTAATCAATGTTCAAAGAGGTAAATAAGTTTAAAGGCAGGCAAAGAACACTTACCCTCCTTTCCTTTAATCACTATTTAAGATTCAGCGGGGTAATTGATTACATCAAAGCTAATCGCCTTATGTCCCGGTAAATCCAACACAAACGCAGATCAGTGGAGAGACAAAACCAATGTTCGATGGCTTCCCTTTTCCAAGTGTACTGGGACTCAGAAGAAAGTCTGGCTGTAACGGCAGGAAGAGGACGCAGAGGGAGGAGAGAAAGAGGCAGAGGGACCCCCCCCTCTCCACCCCACAACTCTGGAACAATACTTAAACGATTCCCCTGAGGTCCTCCAGCCAACGGCAAACTTCCTTTAGTTCTCCTAGCTACAGGTCAGTCCTCTCTCTCTTTAGACCCTGTGCCACCCTCCTCTATAGTGTGAGTCACACCATCTCAGCCTTTTGAATATAAACTTGTTTTCATCTTTGACCAGTCCCACAGACTCACCATGCGTGCAGAGCCTGTAAACAGCTGGGACTCAGCCACCTGGCCCCAGTGTCTGCCCCCCACGACCCAAGCACTGACGGAGGGAACGCCACAAGACCTCTGCCTTCCCAAAAACAATCGAGACCCTTTACAGCCTAAATAAAAGACTCACAGACAGACACGTGTGAAGACGAGCTCTGATGGATGAGAATCACCCCACACCACTCAGTGGTGACAAGGTGACAGCTGTAAACATGTGAAACCCCTGTGTGTGCTCTTTGAAACAGTCCGTGTTTTCTCACTCTGGGGGAGGTGACACAAAAATGATTGCCACCTCAGCACGTGACACACAGGTGACGGTTTAGCACTGGTATGCTGTAGCAACACCTCTCACACATGAAACAGAGCTTTTATCACAACTGGTCTTCGTATATACACCAGTCTAAAACATTAATCTGTCTTCTGTATTCCTTCTGGGAGAGTCACAAACTTAATGAGGATTGACTCTGACATAGTAGTGACCACTACTTCCTGCCTGGGGAGGTTTGGAGAGAGGGTTTCTCCATATACAATACAAACAGGAAATGCCTAATGCAATGTTCACATGCTGTGCCAAGGCCGGAAGAGGGCTTATAAAGACTTTCTAATACGTCTGACTTTATAGATGGAAACCAAATAATCTTTAGACCTAAGCAGCCCTGTACACTTTTCTTTATCTTCATGGTCAAAAGCCAACTTTATGTCAAATAAAATATTACCCTTTACTCCTGTATCCACACATTCAATAAAACACAACAACCTCTGATTAATTCAGCAGCATCCTTTCCCTTGTGGATTAAAACAACTGCTGACAGTTTGTAGAAGTGAACAACTGTCAAGATAAAAATAACAACAAAAATAAAAGCGAAACCTATCAGTTCTCTTGGCTAAGCTCTTCTTTCTTTTTTTATTTGCCTGCTATTGTTCCACCCAGGCTCAGAAAAGGTGTAGTACATGCATCGTGTGCTGCCCTGGCGCATTATGTTAGATGCCAACAGGGTTCGGTGCGACAACCATCAAGTTCGTGCGGAGGCTCAAACTCCAATAGAAAAGCTGTACAGTGCTTTCCATCTCTGTTTAAAACCCTTAATCTCATTACACAACTCCAGCATTTGCATATCAAAACAGCTCTAGTGAACTAAAGTATGAATATGACATCTGAACCAAATGAAAGACAAACACAGTAAAATTGTGAGAAACTACAACAGCAACAACTGGCTTAAATGGGAAGACTTTTGCTGGTGATGGCTGAGGGTTGAACAGACCAAGAGAGAATAGTGTGAGCATGTGTAAATGAGAAGGGGTGGGGATTAGTCGTGGGAGAGTGCAGCAAGGGAATGAGCGGGAAGGCTAGAATTCCTCAGGGCTCATTTAGGGGCCTTTGTGGCATTGTGGGGGAGCCTAACACAATGCATGACTGTGCCATCGTCAGGGAAACGCCTCTGTCAACGACAGCCATTGAGATCAAGAAAGGGGAAGATAACGACCCATCTTCCACCTCTAGTCATTCGGGCTCTTACGTAACACTAAACAGGCCTGGACCTCATTTGAACAACAATCAAAGTTGTTTAAAAAGGGTGTGTTGCCTGCTGGTAGCCTGCTGGTCAGGTGTTTACTGAACATTAGCTGCAGGAGGGGATTATGCACAGCAATTTATCACAGTTGTTAGAAAGACATTATAATCATCATTGGGAGTGTAAGAGCTCTCTAGATTTATTAGAATCTACCAGTGTTTGCAAACAGGGAATTTCCATTTCAGCTACGTCATGGGCACAAAAGATAGCTGCATGCGACGCATGTTAACACATGAATAGCATACTGAATGCATTTGAAAGCCTTTCCATCAGTTAGCAGGTGAGACTTACAAGAAGACAGAGATATGTAAAATAACACAAGGTTATTTTATTCTGCCTTTGTGAAAACAACTGCATAATCTGACCTGGGAAACAAATCAGCAAATTTGAATAAGTGTAAGCAGCTCTTTTGCCTCCCCCATATACACAGTCCAAGACACCCCTGTCACGTTTCTGAATACTAACATTTGTCCCTGTGATCTTCTGTGCTGCTACGGGAACACGGCTGTCAGGAGATCCATTTCTCTTTTCTTTTAAACATAGACTAACAGTTGTTGGAAAAGCCATCAGCTGAGTCATTTTGCCGGATATGGATTTGGAAGTTCTTATATTCCTCCTGAGAATAGTGGGGGTCTGAAAAGCACGGGTTATTATTAACATTGGCTGGACAGGAAGAGGAAATGAGGTCGCACAGGCCAAGCTTCTGCTACACAAACACCTCGGAGCACAGACCAATGGGATCACTGCGATCTGCGTGGAGGAAGGAAACTAAAAAGACAAAGATTCGCAGAGGACAATGCTGTATCCACTACGTCAGGGTTCAAAGCTCATTCTACGTCCCGCTTGTGAATAGTCCATCATATAAAAAAATAATTAAATTAACACACATGAAGAGCAAAGCTTTAAGCATTTCACTTCCTACAAGATACCTTCAGAGAGCCCAGTTGTCCTGAAACAGCTGAAGTGACACACGTCCCTACTATGAACCAAGACGCCTACCAGCTGTGTCCGTCTGTGGCTCTCGAAGCCTGAACTAATGGGGAGTGCCGGGATAGGTCAAAGGACAACCACTAGATTCGTTCTGAGGGGAAAGTGTAAGGCCAAACCCAAGTAAATTCCAGAGAGACTCGCCCCAGGAATTTGAAAGTATATCTGCGACTCCTTTTCTGAGGAGGAGTCAAATTATAGCACAGCGTGTATGACATTATTAAAACAGCTGCCTGTTCACACATCTAAACACACACACAGACCCTTTCATAGTCAGTCTCTAACAGTAAAAGATCAGAGTGATAAAATAAAGTACTATAGTGGAAACTCTTTAAGCAAAAAACCCAACAACCCATCTTTGATATTTCAAGTCATCTGAGAATCTGAGATAGTCAGAATTATGCCTGAAGCAGCTCACATGTGCTGCCTTGAGTTCTTTATGAAAACAGTCAAAATATACCATCACAGAACCCGAGAGGAAAGTTAACATTAAAAGGAAGGCTTCAATGATATCTCAAACAGAGCAAGAGAGACTTTTGAATAAACTGTGTCAGCGAGACACACAAGACTAGCACTGTGATTTAGTTCAAGAAAGCCATAAACGTATGGAAAACACAGAAGGAAACCGTAAGAGAACGAGCGTAGAATAAAACTAAACAAGCACCCTGTCGATGCTAACCAGACCAAAGTACAGGATTACAAGTTCAACCTTTTTCCCCACAGTATTACTTTTATGTAGATGTGGGAAAAAAAGAGAGAAAACCTTTATTGTTACAGGCAGACTTACAACACCATCTGCAAAAATCTTTAAAAAAAAAAAAAGAGCTTACCACACCACGAGTGTAGAGATGAAACAAGTCTGTCCAGTATGTATGTTGTGGCTACATCCTCACAGTGGCAGGAGATGAAAAGCATAAGGAGCTTCTGCTCTGGCAGTCAACAGGCACACAATGTGTGACTCATTAAAAAACTTAAAAACGTTATCGACCCTATAAGACGTCTCCTCATTTCCTAAATAAACCCACTGGTGATTTCTCCCACATGATTCACTGCCAGTGAGTCACAACTATATGAGGGGAAGCCGGTTGTGCTTTTAGCCTTTTTATGCTTTTTGCTTTTGAGTGTGTGGTTAATTTTGAAAAAATCCCTTTCAACAAATTCCCAACACAAAGTGAAAGAGAAATTTAAAGAAAACGTTTCCAGTTCCGTTTTTCACTTCTCGTCAGTTCATGGGGAATATTTTTAAAAGTTGGTCCCCTGGCTTCCTGAAAATAAATCAGACTACAAGAAACCCAACATCCCTTTAAGTAAAGTCAGTGCACACTCGTAAAAGCAGCTGTGCCGACTCCTCTTTGATGTGTAGAAGCTTTGGTATAAGCTTGAACATAACTGCGTACACTCTGGTACTCAGATAGAAAATGGCATTTTTCTGCATCTTCACAAATCCAAAGCAAGGAAAGGCGACTTTTAAGTGTCTAATGTCAACGTGACATGCTTTGACTGAATTGCTGGTGCACCGCTATATCATTACAGGGCTAAATGAGAGGGCACATTCAAGTTATTGGGCGTTCTTCTCTAGTCAGCATACCTACACTTCCAGCTCAGAGAAAGCGTTCAGTTGACTGAGGGGATAGCGGGGTTTTAAGAGAAAGCCTTTGTTCCTATTAGTGGTCTATTATACACCCCAGGGTGGCACGAGAGGCAAAAGAGTGCTGCGACCCTGATGTGAACCACCTCGGTTCATTTCTGGGTTGTCTGGCTGTCACGTGTCCTCTGCAGACTTATAACATCTTCCCAACCTCAGCAGGTCTCCTCCATGGAGGGAGCCCACACACATACACTCAGGTCGCACACACTTTCTAGAGTCAAATCTCCCACACATGTTACCTGGTTAATGACAGCACAGACCTGCACATGCATTAAACAGCTAAGTGAAATTCAAGACAGATGTTTTAAGCCATCTGGTATATGACACCTTTGTCTGCTGCATCATGAAAAGAGATCAGTTAGTCACGCCTTCCTGGCCATAACTGAAAGTAGTTGGCATGTTTATCTCTGAAGAGCTCGGTACTTCCCAGATGAGCTCTAGACTAAAACACTTTTAAAAAAAATTCCCATGACATGTGATAAGACTCGGCCAATGAGTAACAAATTGGGCACGCAGGTAGTTAGTTCATGTGCTTTCACTTCCTATGATCACAAACTAAGAAAAATACAGATATGAGCCACACAGTAAGAGGAAACTGCATCTATCAGGCTGGAATAATATTATAGTACAGGGTGTGTTGTTTGAAAACTTTGGAAACTATTTTGAACAGATTTATTAATAGCTTGAAAAAAAAGCCCACCAGCAGTGGAAAAACTGGAACAGACCCATCTCTGCAATGTATAGCATTGTTTTCAAAGGTCAGAAGTGAATAAAAACCCTCTGAAAAAGAAGAAAACTATGATGCAAAAACAGACTTAACGCAATGAACGCAACGTCTTAGGAAAGTGACAAGTTGTGACAGGAAGGAGAATGGCAAGAAAGGGAGAAAACAAAAAAGATGGGTGTTAGATAAACTAGCTAAGCTCAAACTTTGGGTTGCTCGTTTATGGTGAAAAACAACATTCAGATTTGTTCAATATGTGCGCCAACATTTAAAACAATTACCAATCCCTTTCAGAGGTTCATACATTTAATGAGCTTAAAAACATTACTTTTAAGAGCTTATTTCCTCAAACTTGAAAGAAAATTCATATGAAAATAAATGGAAAAAAGTTAAGAGACCAGCAGAGGAGATCTGTGATTGTGGACAGAAGCCACATTGTGAAAATAAATGTGGTACAATAATCACTTTATCTCAATTATCTTGTTTTCAAAATACTTGAAATCCAGGATAAAATTTCATGACATGACTCCAACCCAACTCAAACCACTGTGACTCCCCCAACTCTTCTCACACATTTCTTCCTGTCATTATTAATAAAGTGCACCACTAATTGAAAACAAGCATCTCTCCGAGTTTGTTTTTATCCATTTTGAGTTGTCACATTCTACCCTCTTTGTGTCTTTTGTCGTGGTTTCTCATTACCTGCTAAGAGACACAGGCTGGTGAGCACGTGATGGGCCATATGGCTAAGTAGGGTATCAATCCCCAGTGAGCTAAAGACTCCTGATCCTAACTCGGCTGAACACAGCTGGCCAGTGTTTTAAGAAAGACAGAAAGGGTTCTGGGAAAGGTTGAATCACTGGGGCAGAGTGGGACCCTGTGAGGAGTTTTAACACTGCCCACACACAAAAAACAACGGGGCCGCCAGCACTGCCGTTCAGCAGCAACGCTTAACTAATTAGTTTCCCCACCAGCTTTAATTACTCTTAAAGGGTCAAAGGAGCAAACTCCTGAAGGCAAAAGTGTGGCAGAAGCAAAGCCTAGAGCCACAGAAACCTGACAGGGTCAACCTTGTTTACAAGCAGTTCGAATATAGTGGCTCTGCTTGTTATTAACCACAGACAACACTCTCTCACATGCCTCTCATGCATGCACGTAAGAGACGTTACAGTCTATGATAACCAGGGGCTGAAATTTGTTTTAGGAAAATGAAATGAGGGCTGGGGCAGAGAGGAGCAGAGCGCAGTGGAGCAGGGTGGCGGTGAGCGCACAGAAGGACACTAAGATGGCCTCAGTGGCCATGTGCCAGGGGAAACAGAAGTGGCATGTGTGGAATCCAGCTTGGAGGGAAGAGACGGTGGTTTGGATGAGGCCACAAAGCAAAGCACATGATGGGGTCTCTGAATGACTTACTGTTAGGGCCCGTTCTGCACCAGTAACCCTAGCGTGAGGGGAAATGTCATGCTCTGTAATATAACTGACCATTTTCCCCATTTGGTAGCGATTTGCTGAAATGGCTGAGCATGGTTCACAGGCAATACTATGGAAACATGGGACATATGGAATGTTCAGATAAGTGAGAATGAAAACAAGAAAGCAGTTTGAGTCCAGCCCAAGTGGTCAACAGTCAAAATAATCCTGCAAGTTCTCATAGCATAACCGTTTGAAAGCCTTTACAATTGGGTATGGCACATGCACTGATGGCTATCACATTGCACCACTTTTCTCTAGGTAATATGAGCCGCTAATGATTAAGCACAATTCTCTTTCCAGACATGCTGTAGAAGGCTACTTAAGGTTTAGTCAGGCTTACCTCTGCGGGTCTTTACCACCATCTGTGCTGTGTTCGGTGCTGCTACCATCTCCCTGAGATCTGCTGTCTGCTGCCAGGTCCAGCTCAGGGTTGGCAGTTTCGTCGTTGGACTCCAAGGCTCGAGGGAGAGGGCTGTCCCTGTCCCGCTCAGGTAGAGGGGTGCAACGCCCCTGGCTCCCTACGCTGCTGACACTCCCTGAGGTCCCATGGTGGTGCCTATCCACACCCGCTCCAGGCTGCCTGGCCTCGCTGCATCGTTTCATGGCCTGCAGCTGGGAGAGGGGCACTATATCAGCTCCCTGGGGTCGATGCCAGACTGTGCGGCGTCCTGCGGAGTTGTAGTAGTAGAAGCGGCCACTGTGGGGGTCAAACAACTCCCACCACTGGTTGCCGTCTGCCTGGCGGACAGAAACACCAGGCGGAGGATCCCAGCCGCATTCGCCAGTGGTTAAATTCACATACATGCGCTCACCGGAGCGTGGCTCCAAGATCTCCACCCAATCACAGCTGAAAAGAAAAGAAACAAAAGCACAGAGAGAAAAGCTGTTATTAGATGCTTAAAATGGCAACAGATCACCTACAGGATATGAGGACATATTAGAGGCCACATGCCTGAGTACTAATCAACTCGACAAGCAGTAAACAACTCGCACTGTTTGACAGACGAGAGGCTCGAACCTGCCCACTTGTCCATATGGAGACTGTGTTAATGTCCCTGTTCCCTACATGCATCCATCTGTATGTGTGTGTTAGCGGTGATGTCATCTCTATGCAGTGGAGCGGCAAAAGCGATGGCGCAAATATGTATGTCCCGAATAAGGAGACAGGTGGACATACTCAGTGAGGCACCAGGCACGGAGTCAGCAGGGCCCAAAGAGAACCATACGCTCCGAGTGCTACTAACGCAAAAACCACAAAGCTCAACTACAATCACAGACTGACAACAGCCAGCTCAGCACAACGCACGCAGACAACGAAAACAGAGACAGTGCAGAGAAGAGGGAGGGGGCAGAGGCAGAGAGAGAGAGAATCAGAGTAAAAGACAGCCCTGTTTGCATAAAGTAATAAGGCAAAAGGGTACAGATTAAGAGGAAAACAGATTACATATGCAGAGACCCTGAACTGAATTTCAGTGAAATGACAGGACACTACGTTAACGAGTCGGACACTGAAATAGTATTAACATGCTACATTAAGCTTATGTGGTGTAGCTACAGTACCTACATAAAATCAGCGTCTATAAATAAGTCGGACCTTAGCTCGCTGTTTCTATATATCCAGGTCATGCAACTCTTTAGTGAGCTAGTTTATGTCTCCTTTGATCTAGTTCCCCAAAGGAGACCTTAACTGTGTCAGCAAATCCATGTGGGAACAGGAACGCTACAAACAGCCACGAGGAGACCGTTACCAAGGTTCAGCATCACAGTAAACGTCTAGACGAGAGCCAAAGGAAGGACTCAAAATAAACTCACAAGGCGCCTTTTTCTTCTTGTACTGAGCACTTGAGGGTCCTGGCAAGGTTAGGTCTTTTCTATTCTTTAGTGTCCCACCTAACACTAGTCTAGTATCTTTGAGAGCAAAGTATCAGTTGGGGAGGAATTAGTGTCACAACAATCTGGTAGAGGCTTGGATATTTTCCCAGCTTTCTTAGGATAGAAAAGCTTTTCTTCTCCCTGTCACGGTTGTTAGAGGTACGACTCCACCATCCAGGCTACCTGGGATGATCAGAGCAGGCAAGAAGCTTAGCAGGGATAAGACTGCCTACAATGTTCACCAAATATCCACATTTGCTTCAAGGCGCCTGCCAAAACAACCCTGTGTGCAACCCTGTCTCAGAAACAGAGACAGAGGAGCACGGTGCCAGGCAGCTCTGCCACATTTACAATGTCACCCAGTTGGCCGAAACTCACTGGGACGAACAGCTGTTCCCTGTTAACACTGATGTACCTGTTCATCAAGCATAACGTATCAATCACTCTCTTATGTGCTGCCAGAAGGAGCCACAGGCTCTTCATATCTTGATTTAACAACCAGGTAAACATAGAAAGGGCATGGAGAGACTATAGGAGCCTTCCACATACTCTCTTCCCATGTGTCCCAGTGCTTTATGCTGGGAAACCATCTGGTCCAATCCTTCACAGCAGTCAAGCAGCGCTAACCTTAGTCCACTCAACAAGCAGGTTCTATTTATACAGCATTTTAACTCTACCTGAGATCAGAGCAAGCAGAAACTCAAAAAAAGGGAAAAAGACACGACTGTATAGAGCAGGGAACTGACTACAGTGTGTCTCCCCACAACGAGACGCAAGTATTACAAAATTATTTTCTGAGCGATGAGATCCACAACACTTAATGGGCGGGAAGCCTTGCAAATAATGGGGGCATTCAAAGCAGAGGCCAAACAGTCAATACCACCCCACACATACCAGAGCCTTCATCCTTTCACTGCTCCTGTCTGTATTCCAAAAGAGGCGTTCCCAAACCGAGAAACTGATCTTCCCATGCCGCATTCCCTGTTATTCAGTTCGGTGTTTGTCATTATTCTCTGTAAATGGAGTGTTTGGATGCAAATAAACCTATTTCTTACAAACTGCTGAGTTTCAAGTAACATGTTTCACGTAAGCCGACACGGCATTTTTGTGTGTGTGTGTGTGGGTGGGGTTATCTCCCAGTGTACCACAGCTGTGATGACGGTGAAGTAACCAGCATGGGATTTTGCATAATGGCCTGCATCCTACACACCCTGACAGGACACGAGGGTTTCATGGTGCACTGTGAACACCATACATGACAAGTTAAGCAGCACGGGGTGTAGCTGTTTCATAAGGACTGTTCCCTCTGGGTAAATAAACAGCAGTTAGAGCTGAGAGCGAGCCTGCTGTGCTCTGTTGACACGACCTGATAAGCAGGAAGAAGGGCCGTGTTCAGGTTTTGAAATCATTTTGGGGAGCACTCAGAAAACAGAGACACAGCCGTTACCTGGGTTTGCCTAATACAATGGCACTTTTCTTCAGTGGGACATACCAGGAGTGAGGTCGAAACACTTTGATTTCTCACTAAAATGAATGAAAATGAATATTTATTCACTTGCACCAAAGAAAAACTTAAAAAAAAAAAGAATAAAAGTGGACCAACTAACATTAACAGGATCCTCTTTGATACACATTTCTGGTGAAAAGTTGCTTTATGTGGTGCCATGTAAATCAATCTGTGCCTGCACAGCTTTATGTGGTCTTTCTGCAGAAGAAGCAGACAGAAAAGTATAGAGCATGACTCTCCAAACAACTGAGGCAATCTGCCTCACGCTGTAAATGTTCATAAATGGTTTGGAATGCAGTCTGCACAAGCTCAGTGAAGTTTAACTCCAAGAGGAATGTTTTATATTGATCTAAAATTAACTTGTTACACACATGGACCTATGACTAAAGCATACAGCACCCGGTTTACCTCTGGGGAGACTCAATCTAATTGAAGCAGACCTTTATGCCACAGGCCCGTGTTATGACTTTGCGCACTCTGTAACCAGGAGTTGACTGCATTCAGTAAACACTTTTTGGTGGGGTTAGATTACAGATTGCAACATAAAGAATAGTGTTCATGGACAGTCTAAGGTGCCTGGAAAGAAAGCGACTGGACCTTTTTACGTTTCTTAAAGACGGTTCACCCCTCATTCAAGAAACTTCTATTCCTCATAAATAGACTTTTTAAACTGCATCGGTTTGCCTCTTCACGTGATGCCCATTGGCAGAAAGTTTTGTGAAAATATATGAAAAATCAAGTATGAAATTCCTCATCCTTTATATTCCGATGTGTGATAACACATTACAAGGTCTCTGTCTCCCATGAGGAGTCTAGGAGGACCTTCAGGAGCCTATGGTTATCCACAGTAACTAAGAATAAAACTTGTCAAAGTGTGAATAAAGACTATGCAAACATAGCCCACCACAGAGACCAAGAGGCCAAACCCGAAACACGAAAACACCTTCTTGACCATCAAGTCGCTCACATTCACATAGTGCCAGTGGCTTTTTTTTTTTTTTTTGAAGGAGAACTACTACATCTATCATCCATCATCCACAATTTACAGTCATCTCCCAAAATAACTAGAACTGAGAGCGGTTTCCCAGAGTTAGGGAAACAACAGAATATAGCTCATGGAATCTGCCCCATTGTTCAAAGGCAGCGCCAAAGTGTAAATGGCACGTTTCCCAGCAGCGGTAAACACAGAGGACTGGACAATGCATTCACTGGAAATGGGGCAGCAAGCAAACCTTGTGTCATTGTGCAGCTTTGGGTTTCAAACAAACTCAAATGCTAGTGTGGTTGTTGATTTCATCAGAAAGATAAACCATATAGAAAGGAGAAAAGATTGTTTTCCCCGGGTGGTGGAGAGTTTAGACTAAGCGTTGTGTCATCAGATAATCTCATAACGACTGAAATGCTGTTTTATGCTTCTGTGCTATTGTGGCATTCCTGATGGAGCGATAGCACACCTTCAGAAACACGGTGCTAAGTGAAGGTTTTAGTGAAATCACTGGTCCATAAACTAGACAAAACTAAGATAACAACCCAGTGAGACAATTATGCTCCCATCTATCACGCTGTACTCTTAAAAGGTAACCGCCAACCTTTTTCAGCAACCAACTATTCTGAGCTGCTGCTGCTCTACTGTTCCTTGTGGACTGAAGCAGGCGGAGCGCTCGCACAGGGCCTGCCATTCATCTAGGAAACCTTACCACTCCGGTCACAGCAACAAGTGCCAAGGTCCCCCCTTGCCGGTATATTTACAGAGCTGCTCTTTCCTATTTAGAGACATAAAACATCCTTTCTCCTCAGATACTGGCATAAAAATAAGTCCTCACTCTGCAGAAAGGAAGAAATTCAAAATCACTTGGCTGCACACACCCAAAACTATAAACCTAAGTCTGAAAATGCTGTGAGGTTGGATGAAATGTAAATAAAAATACAAGGCAATGATTTGCAAATCTCATGGC